TTCCCTGAAATGTGTTGATAATCGAGGTGGCATAATGATAAGTATGGTTCTTTTGAATGAATGAATATTAAGTTTTATTATTTTTATTATTCATTTATTACTGTTAATATTTATTGTTAGTAACTGGAATATAGTAGCAGTGAGTGTTTGGATTGTCTCGCATGAGTTGAGTATCATGTAGATTCACTCGAGTATCGATTGATTTTTGCTGGTGGCGAGGAATTTTTGGGTGTTTTTTGGGAATTTTTTAGATTCCGACCTGAAATTGGGAAAAATTTGACCTGAAATCGGAAAAATTCCCGCAAGAAAGGTGAGAATATTACTTGGGTAGTGGAATTTATAGGAAAAGGAAGCCTGATTTAAACTCAGGCAGCATTACATCATCAAGTGTCCATCGACTTTTTATGGGTGTTTCAAGCAAGCTGATGAGAGCTTTTCATGTGAAATTCCCTTAATTTATATAACTGGATTATCTTTTTCTGTCCACTCTTTTTCTTTGACTCTCCACTTCTCTCTGTAATTTCACAGAGACGATACGCTATATACATCGTGTCTTTATTTCTCTGCGAGGACAAGTTTAATGTGTGAATGAAGACGTGTGTATAAGTGTATGAGAGGAGGCGACAGGCAGCATTCAACAGATTTTGAGTTGAGTATCATGCAGATTCACTTGAGTATCTATTGATTTTTGCTCGTGGCAAGGAATTTTTTGGGTGTCGTTTGTGAATTTTTTAGATTTTGACCTGAAACAGGCAAAAAATTTGACCTGAAATTGAAAAAATTCCCACGGGAAAGGTGAGATTANAGTTTTTAAGAAAAATGAGAAATGAATGCATTTGTTTCGAAATTGGTTAAATCGATTGCGTTACTTGCGTAGAAATTGGTATTCGGTAGTTAAGAAAAAGTGATTTTGAGCTGTCAGAAACGAAATTAGCAGCGATAAAGCATGGAAGAAGAACCAGCCACTATAACATTCTCGAGTGCGGGTAAGCAGCAACCTCAAACGAGCGCGGGTATTTATTATTGTTATTTATTATTATTATTTATTATTGTTATTTATTATTATTTATTATTGTTATTTATTATTATTTATTATTGTTATTTATTATAATGGTTATATAATAAATAATAATAAATGTTAAGGTACCTCTCCTTCGGTAAAATTTTCGTCGCAGTCAGTGAAGATGGCGACTCTGACAGCTCCGATGGTTCAGAAGCGTAGATCTGGTAGTTAATTATTATTTCGTTATTATATTTATTGTTATTATTTTATGTATTTATTATTATTTTATTTATTATTATTTATTATTTGTTATTATGCACTCATTACATATTATTATAATGTGTATATTATTATTATACAAATGAGCGTCGTTCTGATATTTATTTATTATTACGTTATCGTATTTTGTTTACTATTATTGTATATATTTATTATTATGTATTGTTATTGTATTTATTTATTATTATTTATTATATATTGTTGTATATATTTATTATTATTATTATTGAAATATTTATGTATTATTTATTATTGTTTATTATTTATTATTATTATTTATTGTTATTGTTAAGGTGGATTGGAGCGTTGTGCGGTTTCGTTTGCGACAGCGGCGATTCGGTTGAANTTATTATTATTATTATTATTATTGTTTATGAGTGATAATAAATAATATTTATTATATTTATTATTTATTATTATATTTATTATTATTTATTGTTATTATTATTTGAGGATTCTGATGACAATTTATCGCAAAGCAGTGTGTTGACTGCGGCTAGTGAGCCGTCTTTACCTATCAAGACGAGTGGGTCAGATAGACGGGTGTTTATTATTATTATTATTATTATTATGTATATTATTAATGTATATATTATTTATTGTATATTATTATTATACATTATATATATTATTATATTTATTATTATTATTATTATTATTATTATAATTGGAGTTGGATTCGATGGAGACAGAGTGTGGCTTATCAGAAGGTGGTAGTAAGTGGTCGTTNGTTATTATTATTGTTATTATGTATATTATTAATGTATATATTATTTATTGTATATTATTATTATATATATTATTATATTTATTATTATTATTATTACTATTATTATTATTATTGGAGTTGGATTCGATGGAGACTGAGTGTGGCTTATCAGAAGGTGGTAGTAAGTGGTCGTTTCGGTCAGTAGAGAGTCATTTGGGTGCGGGATCGCCGTCGGTTCGTAAGGTAGTTGGTTTTATTTATTTTTTATTATTATTGTTTTTATTTATTTTTTATTATTATTGTTTTTATTTATTTTTGTTACTTATTATTATTGTTTATATGTAATAAATGCAGAAAGGTACCCCGGTGGCAAGCGATAGAGAGTCGATCGATTCGACGGATTCCAAAGGAGAGCGGTCGAAACTGGCATCGATTCTGGATAGGGCGCGGCTGAAAGGCAAAAAATTGGTCTCTTCGAGCAGGAAGCGTAGATCCGGTGGGTGGTGTGTATTATTAATGTGTAATTAATAAGTAATTTATAGTAATTAATAGTATTTAATAGTAAGTAATATATATATATGTATATATATAATAAATAATAAATAATATTTAGGTGAAGAGGTCTGTCAGGAAACGATATTAAGCAGTGATGAGGGCTCCAACAAAACGCTGGTTGTAAACACGCACACTGCCTCAGAAACTGAGAAGAGGGTGCGTGCATTGTTATTATTTATTTTGTTGTTATTTGTTATGTTATTATTATTATTATTATTTTTATTATTATTGTTATTATTATTGTTATTGTTATTATTATTATTGTTATTATTATTATTATTATTATAGTTATTATTATTATAATAAATGAATAATTATTTCAGGCAGAGAAGAGTGCTGCAGCAGTTGGCGGAACGGTGCCGTCGTCATTGCAGAGTTGTGTGAATTGGCACGAGGCCAGCAGACAAGACCTCGCTGGGACTCCGCTT